CCCAAAACCCCAAAACCCCAAAACCCCAAAACCCCAAAGTAGTCATATTAAAGAAATTTTAGGAATGGATAACTTATAATTAATTATTGTTTAAGATAATATCGCCAAAGTATCTTTAAAAATGGACTCACTAAATAATACCCGAAATAATGCCATGAGAGATATACCCATTTCTACCAAGGTTTAGGATGATGAGATGGATGCGATAGATGTTTGTTCATGTGGCAATGGATAAAAAGCAGTATATTATTGTTTTGATCCTAAACCAGATTGTGAAATTGGCCAAATATATTTTTGTGATCAATGCAAAATAAACCATTTGAGTCATGCATCAATACTACTTACCGATTTCAAAAAGAAATACATCAATGAAATCAATAAATCCTTTCATCTCATTGATGTTACATTTTCAAATGCTCAAGCTAAGATGGATATGTATAGCAACTTTTTAAGTCAATGTCAAAGAGGAAAATCTATATTAGAACCGGCAGAAAAGAGAAGAGACCCACTAGAAGATATTAAGAAACTGGAGTAGATTTATGAATAGACAAAGAGACTCAGAGATTACGGAGAGAGCTTTTTCTAAAAAAACAAAGTTTCAGACCTCAACAAGATCAATATGAAATTCAGAGACTTCGTAAAAATAGTATAGGACTTCGAATATATCTCAGAGATGAATGACTAGATAATATGGGATTGTTACTAACCTGCATTTGAGTCTGACTTTGAATTTGACCTCAGCAGTTTAAACACTGAGGAAAAGGAGCTGTACTATAAATTCAAGATACAAGCTTTGAGTTCCAGAGTGAAAAAATTAGAAGTAATGCTAAAAGAACATAATAGTGTTAAGCAATGTATTGCTGCAATAGCTGTTTAACTCAACATCGAGGACAGAATAAAAGGCTTTGGACTTTGAATAAATATGAGTCAAAACTCTGTATATTCATGCATTTTATAAAACTGAAATTCAATCCATACTTTCATTTATTTATTAATAGGCAACAAAATTATATTCCTACCATTATCTACTCTTAAGGGGTTTTGGGGTTTTGGGGTTTTGGGG